CACAACGGAGAAGATTTTGAGGTAGGAGTCACTATCCTTACGCAGGAATCGAAAACATCAGCGCGAAAAACTCTTGAAGCGTTTTGGATCAATGCCAAAAATTCAAAAATGAACCGCAAGGAGGAGTGTCTTGTCATCACGCGTGACCTAGCGCCATACCTCAGGCTGATCCAATGATCTGACATGGACCCAGTTATCGACCATGTATTACTCTGTGCGGCGGCTATCCACCAACTAACTTAAATACTTACAACAAATAAACGGTAGGTGTTTGAATGAAGCTGTTTCTTATGCGAATACAAATCGATTTATCAAGTTTTATCTGCTAGGGTTATGAAAGTGTTTGGCTGAGTAGATCGCATCTCAATTTGACCTTTCCAGGCTCTGAAGAAGGCGAAACCGCCGAAACGTCAGCAATTGTGTTCTAATAAATTCTATATTAACAACCTCGTGTCTGCTTATTGATGAAAAACATTGAATTACTACGACAGTGTTCATAAGATTACTTGGATACCTAGATGGTCCGTCTTCATTGATTGTGCGAGCCCAGCATAATTTCCATTCTCTGCACATTTCCCAGTCTAGTCATTATGGTTCTCTGGACTACCGAAAACAGTCTGGCCAAAATCTGCCCAAGGTCGTCACCACCACAGGCAGTTGCAGCCTTTGTGGATTAAAGGGAGATTTACCACCATGCGACTAGTTTCATATCAGGACGGTAGTGAATCCTGGTATTGGTACCCGTTTACTCTTAGGTAGGCTTCCTGATGGAAACGCCGAACTCGCCATCCATGAATCTCCCAGGGTCCATGGTATTGCTATCTATAATTTCAAGATAGAAATCTACTTGAGCATAGACCAGATAAAGTGCAACCATCTGTAGGTATGCCAAATAGTAGCAATGTTCTAAAAAAAACTGTCTAGAATCAAAGAAACAGACATCACGTGTATGCGAAAAAATAAGCTGCTTTAAGAACGACGTTCAAAATGCCATTAGAAAATTTTGACAAAAGTTTACAGCGTAGCAATACTCAAAATGCAAAAGCACATTCAAGAACGGAAGCATTTTCAAACGCCTAGACCAGTAGCGGTCAATTTTCGTGATAGTAAGTTTAGTTCTCTAATGAAATTACGCTTTTAAAATAAGTGTCCCCAGTGGTCCGCTAAGCTATTTTGGCGCAAATTTTTATGTATCGAATTACAGTGTACAAATATAACAGAACTGTCTTACTAGCTGTCTCACCAGCAACGGTCTCAGCAGACAAGAATGAGTCATAACGCTGTTGTTCTGAATACACATTTAGCACCTTCAAGAAACAGATGTCACAAAATTTTGTACGTTATTATAACAAGCATGATCAACCACAAGTAATACTACATAAGGGACGCAAGAACGAAACGAGTGATCAAAAGTGACCAGATTTTAATGTCATTTATATTAGGCTTGGGTATTATAAATGATTGAGTTAAACAAATGCAGCTAAAGCATATCAAGACATTCAGGTGAGTAACAAGGAAAACGCAGATGTTTAAAGGATAAGAAATCTCTGAACTCTTATACTTACAAGCTAAATGAATCAGAACAAAGCAGATTTATCTAAAAAGTCCAAGGAAGCTCGAAATGTGTTGAACTGAGATACGTTCGCCACAGCATGATAGTTTACAGAAACAAAATTCTTTATAAAATCCTACAAAAGGCATGAAAGCATTTGGTCAAGCGAAACTGAAAAGGCAAATACCCATGCAAGGAAAAGAGATAGAGATAGGAGGAAGATAGATATGCGGAAAGATACTCAAAAACTTATTCAGAACTCTGTGACATTAAAGGCGAGATTTGAAGTAGGTAAAGTGTTAAGAAGTGAAAAGCACATTGATTGCCCAGTTTTACTCCGAAATCCTTGAAAGTTTAAAGTATTCAATGTATCAGATATGAAGCTTCTTACACGATAAGTGAAACTGGAAAGGACTTTACGTGCGTCTGCCACTGAGAGCTGCACTGGAAGTAGCGTATACGCTCATATGTGAATCCATCAACATTCACTGTAAAACAAAGGATGAAACCACTGCAGTCTAGGATTATGAGGAGTTATAATAATGACAACTACCAGTGAGATCAGCATGTTTGCTCGCACAGCTGCAAAGTAATCGAGATACAGCAACTACCTGCACAGGCGGGTTATCGTTCTCTGTTTTCTAGAATGAGATACGCTTGCGTTTCAACAGTGTTCAAATGTGTACTTGTAATGCACATTTATGATAGACCTGCTTAATTTAATTAACTCAATGGGATAGGCGAAAGATAGTGTACCTGTCCTTTTTTCATCCCCAGTTTCTGTAACATTTTTTCTTTCTTCTTCTCCTTCACGAAATTTAGGGAAAGAAGTGGTTGACTGCAGGATCTGAAAAAATCTTTACGTGTAAATAGCAGTAGTATTGCGATAGTTAGAGGAACTCTACACAAAACAAATGTTTTTGTCCCGGGGAAATCTTATTTAAAAACGACCGGGTCATACATATACAGATGTTTACTTGCAACTTTACAATACACGAAAGTTCTTTCCTATTTTGTTCGCCAGAGAGTGATTTTGATGAGTGGGGGTAGTGAGATGTGCCTACACGTTACAAAGTTTTCCAACGATTAGTTGCCTTGTGTACCCAAGAAACAGCAAAGAGGCTGTTGTCGACAACAAGGGTTCTTGATGCTTGTGCCCTGAGTGCCTGAGTGGCCAGCATGAGTCCAATGTGACTCATGTACTTAGTTGGATACTTGGACAGTCCGCCCTCACTGGTTATGCGGGCCCCAGCACAATCTCCATTTTTCGGAGTTTTGCTGGTTATGGTGTTTTCCTGGAGTTCCGAGGTCAGCCTAGCCAAAACCTGCCCTAGGTCGTCACCACCACAAGAAGTGGCCGCCCTTGTTGATCAGAATGAGACTAGCCACCACGCACCTAGTTTTATACCAGAATGGTAGTGGATCCTGGTATTGGTTTACCTTTAGCTGAATATCATGATGGAAACGCCGAGTCCTTCTCAGCTTGGGAGACCTTGCCGGAGGATGAATCTTCCGCCGCACATCGCAAACCGTCACTCATGAAAAACCTCCCAAATACGATGAGGCGCAAATCGTTAGGAGGTGTGACTGGTGTACCAGGTCAGAAACCAGCATTGCCCCACTTTCCACATGAAATTAGACGTCGTCAGAGATTTTGCCAATATTACAAATGAGAAAAAGGAAGTCGCGCTCAAATAAAGCTTTGAAGATGACATTTACTGATACGCTTAAAACGAAACGCACCGTGTGATCACAAGTGTACGGAAGCTGGCCTTTATCGATCCTTTGCTGACATCTTTTTTAGAGTTCGGTGTAACATTCTGCGAACTAAGCATATTCACATTCTCCTAGAAGTGTTCCACTAAAGTTAATGACTACGATGGTAAGTTAAAATTATATGGATAAAAAAGCCAATGAGTGCTTATCTCTAAACCACCAACATTCGATGGATCCCTCCCGAGCCAATATTCAACATGCATTTCGCGAGAATCAGCTGCACGAATGTGTGGGCTGTTTGGAGGTGAACTACTAATACCTGGAAAACATTCAACAAAAAATAGTAGATGGTTCATGAAGAGATATAAAGTTATGGGCTGAAAAAAGAGATGAACAACACCTGCAGAGTACTCGCGCTCTCTTCCCGACATAACAGGTTCTTTTTCTGCTTCCGCGCTACGTGGAGAGGGATATATGTATGATCCATCCTCATCTTCACTATTCTGCCCTACGCGAACCTCAGCGAGGAATGGTACGAACACTCGACAGGCTTCAGCCTTGAAAATTAGATTTTATGATGTAGAAGTTAATAAAACAGTTACTTATAACAGTTAAAAGTTAAAAAGGATTAACTTCTTGGCGTTGACCAATCTCTTAGAGATGCGCTTTGAAATCGATTTCATTAAGCATTGCTGGAGGAGATTGGATGCCTGGCCCTTACAATGACTCAGAGTGGCCTACCGATGTAACGAGCCAATGCTGCTATCCTCCCAGACAATTCTGGTACCAACTTGCCGACCCCGGAGGGATGGAAGACTTGGTGGGCCAGTGGCGCGGAAATCGATTCCACGTGTGCGTCGCAGGGCGGCTGCGACCACTGCGCCACAGGCGTCCATATTATTATCACGATTATAACTAAGTGAAACTACACTAAAGGAATTAATTCAAAACAGTGCATGTCGTATAATGGGACGCATTCAAAATGTCATAATAAACTGCTAGAAATTCCTACGGCAAAAAATAAAGCTAGAAAAATAATGTAAAACAACGAAAAAGCTGAACAATGGGAACAATGGGAACAACAGGGCGTCAAAACAGCAGTTTCTACAGAACTGCATTTGAAGAAAGATAAATTTAGCCTAAAAGCAAAATCTACGGCGCTCTTCACAAACCTCTTGTCCTCTCTCCGTCATCTGCAATAAAGCCTCTCCAATAGGAAGATTAACGCAGGCGCCACCACCAGCAGTGAGCCACATTGTCATTTTTTCGATAACTGATACCCTTTCTGACGGACTTAGGTCAACCCACCGCTCCCACATATCATGACATAGCTGATCAAGCTCCCCATCGAGACCTGCAATAGCACACTTATAGAAACTTAAGTTCATAACGCATTCTTATTTCTACACAGATATTTTGAATAAACGTTCCAGTATAAAGTAAGAAATTGGCAACGCATTATACCTTCAAGAAGCCTTGCCATTAAAGAATGTGGAGCTGGAATCATGGCAAAGCGGAGATAGTGCAACCAGTTGCTTGAGGACTTGTGATGGAGACATTCCACATACGCGCGCAAAATCTGGGAGTTTCAAATTGATGAAGAAGGTTAAGCGAGATAATAAACACTGAAAGCACTTTTTTTCTTCATACGCACCCCAGAGACAAGAAGAAAAGACGGAATAAGTACACCAACAACAAACAGAAATAAACAAATGAACAGCAGGAGGATTTTAGCACCTAACCTATCGAGGTGTTCCTGGGGTGGAAGTGATAACGTAAACGATCGATAGAACTAGCTGTGAGACAGGTGAAATGAAGGACCCGCATGGTGTGGTGGTGAACGCGTTACTCCCCAGAAAGTACAATGGCGCGTTCGATCTACACAGCAGACACCTGCGGTCAGGCGTTTTGCAAAAATCTCAGCATCATTGAAGTCACTGAATACAGTTTGCGCCTCGGTTGTTTCGAAAGGATTTCTCGCAGAGGAAGTTGTCGAGGTGCGTGAAGAAGTGATAGTCGATAGGCGATAGATCTAGCGAGTATAGTGAATGAACCACAGTTTTGCAACCCAACTCGTTCAACCTTTGCAGCATTGGTGGTCCTACGTGTCCGCGTGTGTTATCATGGAGAAGCATACGCCCCTCTGCAGACCAATGCGGGGTGCAGCCATCGAAGTTTCTAGTGCATTTCATCGATTTTTTGGACGTATTTCTCCGCAGCAAAGGTATCATCTGCATTTACGAAGTTATGATGGATTAAACCATCAACAAACCACGAAACAGCTAGAACGATTTCATTTCGGTACAATTTTGTCTTTAGGAAGTTCTTCGGAGTTTCACTGCAGTCTAGTCACTGGGTCGAGCCTTGTCAGCTTTCATAAAGGATCCAATTCTTCTCGACGTCGTAACTCGGTCCAGAAACGGGTTATTGTAGTTACGCTATACCCAGGCAATACCTTAAAACGGCGAGTTGTTTGGGTATTGGTGTGGTTCTTCGGCAGTTGAAACACTTACAAGTTCCTCTGCAAGTTATCGAATAGTCGTGAGTGTAATTCCTTCCACTAAAGTATTCAATGCATCTTCGTTAATAGCAGATGAACGTCTGAGACCACCATCACCTTCACAGTCTAATTCGCGACAACGAAATTTGCCAAGTCAATGTTGCATTGTGAACTCGTTAACATCTCCTTGGTCACATAAATCATTGTTTCACCCTTTTACGTTGCGTACGTCGGAGTTTCGTTGGAGCTAATTTCCGACCAACCTGATAAGAAATACAGTTACAGCTAAAGAACATTTAGACAACTAATTGTCATGTATGCAGAATACATAAACTCTACGGATGTCGGTCAACAGAATGAAACAGACTTTTTTGAAATCGTTCATTGTATGAAGAAAAGTGGTCCATGTTTAAATAGCAGAAACAACACACGGAGGATAAAAACGAACTTCCCAGCAATTAAATAATCTGATAACGTCTTCGTTGAAACCACTTCATTGCTGGGATGTAAATCGTACTTTTACCTTTAACTTAGTGCTGCAATTCATCAATACAAGAGTAATCACTAATCACCAGCTATCAATCACATCAATTGTCGAAGAGCTATAGAAGGGTCGAGGACATGCTCAACACCCAAGTAATGTCCAATTTTCATTGATGGCATACAGACGTAAAAGGAACCGAATATCTGTGGATCGCATTGCGACAACCTATGGATGGATAACATGTACCATCACCAAAGAACACTAAATGCTTCAGTCACTTGAAAACTATCACGTGTGATTCTCTCAACAATCACGAAATTCAAGTGAACATAATTAAACTCTTCCTTTGGGCGCCACAGTTGCACAGTCGACTCCGCTAGCATGGCGGAAAACACTTATGATAGCAGAACGTGTTATTTTTGATAAGGAGGTGGCAATGGGCATCACAGTGGCTCATTAATTTCGAAGCTCTACTTCTAGGTGAGCATTCGAACAAAAATTTAGATCCTTTCCTACTTTCGAAGACACCGTAGCAACGATCTTTTGAAGTATATCGACACCTAGGAACACCACGAAGTCACGATTAAGTAGTAAGCTATTGGTCCTAACTACGAAGTGCACATTGTATAAAAATACAACAGAATACGTGTTAGGTCTATGGGTGATTTTAGTACGGTAAAAAAATAGCTAGCAAAACTCTTAAGAGCCTGAAATCACCGTGACCCAGCCTGAGGTTGGTTTGTTAGCAGAATACATTCAGAAGCTATAATGGATGCGAAAATTGTATGCATAGGTATATCTCAACATCTCAGCAACGTTGTGGTTGTATTTCGCTTAGTACCCTGCCGCGAAATTATACTAGGCAGAAAACAAAAAGGTATAACATTGTGATTTCAATTACAACCGCAGCTTAACTGGGTTCTATGCCGACTTGGGCGCCCTAGATCAGTCCCGCTGACGGGTGATTGCTGTGGCAAAGATCGATAGAAATAGTTGAGAGACAGGTGAAACGAAGGACCCGCATGGTGTGGTGGTGAACACGTTACTCCCCGGAAAGGACAATAGCGCGTTCGTTCCCCACCATAGACACCTGCGGTCCAGAGTTTTGCAAATATCCCAGCAACGTTGTGGTGTATGCATAGGTTTTTCATTTCCCGAAAAGATAGGAGACAAGAATTGTTGGCAATTATAAAGGTGTTACCATGTATTTGAACTTCAAATTTTTTGATCAAGGTTGACCAACTTGTTTGCACGTTAATGTAACCCTTTTTAAGCCCTGAGGAAATAAAAAAACTTTTGCCACTGTATCACAAGCACGATAGTTTACCTAGGTGTCAATTTCACCTCGAGGTAACATAGAATTAGTAAAGGTAAGAATGTTCACCTGATTAATAAACTTATCTCCCCCGATAACGCCAACCCGTGTAATTGGAGGATTCGAGGAGTTCGAATTGCAGCTAAAAAAGTCACGGAATTGAAAAACTCAAGGCAGGAACATGAATGCATGAAAAGAAAACACTAGCACTTACAAGTTCTGTATTTTGGTCACGATTTGACTCATCGCTAGCTTCACACTACTAGAAGACGGGCAGTCGACTGCTGGTATAGGGATTGCAGAAAGATGAGGTAGGTCGTGAAAAGAAGAAAGCCAACAACCAGTTGATATATCAGGATAAGCAGACAGCAACGCCGAAAGCTGTAACCGCTTCAAAATAAACTCGACGTTCAAAGCAAATTTCAAAAGAATAGACGAGGAACGACCTGCTCGGAGACGTAGTTCTTTTCTGACGAAGTAACAGGTTGATCCATTTTCTTGAAAGTTGAACTAGAAGTAAACAAATGTGAAATTCCACCGAAAGATGTGCTTGGCACTAATGGCACGTTGCTCAACGACGCCATTTGCTGCAGCGGTTTTGATATGACCTATAATTATTAAACTATATGCATGAGCTTTACCTTACAACCTAAGTGCTTTTTTTATATGACCCGTCTTTCACATCTACTGTGAAGGAGCCAGAACTACTCGCGTTCGATTCGTTTCCTCGCATCCATCATCCACGAATACCTCCCAACTTTTTAAGTGTGGTCTCGACTGCTGCCTGAAGATTTTCCTTTATTTTCTTTTCGTCACGAATTCCGTTGAATCCCGCTCGAGTCGAATCTCCTTGGAGTTCTGAGATAGTGGAGCTAGAGCGTTCCCAGTTCGACTGCAGAGACGAAGACAAGTTCAGTCACAAATTCTACACCCCGAAAGGATGAGAGACTTCCGCTTCCTAATTAACTGCGGCAAATTGAAATTAACTGCTTAGCTACAGAAATTAAGAAAACTTACATTGCGAGAAAGATCGTGTGTTATACTCGCATGGTCAGTTGAAGCGAGTGACGACACAGGTAAATCCTTGGGGAGTTCATGAGCATATGAAAGTTTTGTTGGGATGTCCTCTTTCTCACGCTCTTTTTCCGTTTCGGAAGACCAATCCACGTCCTCCGCTTCATCTTCGATGTCAGAACCGTTTTCAGCATCCTGAAAATAACGAAATTTTCTGGTATACTACAACTAGAACCCATCCGGTAAATACTACAAGCAGTGAGTTTTTATATTACTTTTTTTCATTATGACCGTCATTCACTAGTTTTCTGCCAATAACCCACCCAAGCCATAGTTACGATAATGACACATTTCAAATTTGAGGATGAAAGGCTTTAACTGAAATCATTCTTAGCGTAATATGGTCTATTCTAACAACACACACAAAACCGTCCAAACGCGCAGCCTCATTCAACGACATTTCCCTAATCGCGATTTTTTTCGATGTTTTTTTTCTCCTGTGTTTTTCCAGACACTGCCTGCAAATCGTCTTCTTATTATCAAGAGTCCAAATTACCGAACGAATAATAAACTATTCATATGTCTACGCCCAGTTCTCGATAGGAAATAGAAGTCCTAGTGCCCTGGTGATAAGAAATTATACAAGCACGCATGTCTGAATGGGATGTATTTGGAGACAATGCTTCAATTTGATCAATTTTTATTCCCTACCTATTCTCTTATCATAGCAGGTTATTCGGTAAGATACAACCACAATGATGCTGAGATATTTGCACAGCTCCGGACCGCAGGCGTCTGCGGTGGGGAATGGACGCGCTATTACCCCTTGCGGGGGATAACGCGTTCACCACAACACCACGTGGGTCCTTCGTTTGGCCTTCCAATTATTTTATTTTGATTGACAACGTTTCATTTCGACCAAACTGCACGACATGAAGCATCGTCTTATGTGGTATGAAATACCAAGCGCTTCTGTACATTCGTATACAGCCTTTATAACTGAAAGCTGTGTAGATCGTTTTGGAGCTTCGTATTCGTTCCACTTTAATATAACTGCCTTGCTTAACTTACTAAACTTAAAAGTATTCATACCAAACTCTTTGTTGCACGAACCTTATGCATACGCACTGTCTTTGTATGAGAAGAAATGTAGACGTATTTTGAGACTGTTAATAGATTAATGCCACATCTAGAGTACGCTTCGCCAGCAAACGAGAAATTTGCGGTTGGTTGGACAATCTTAAGTTTGGAGATGAAAATCTTGAAAATAAAGATTGTATGCCATAAACTCGCTGACGTAGAGGAACTGACAACACCATTTGAAATCGTCCTATTGCAAACCGTCCAACAACGAATAAAAGTTTTCAGGATTCTAATAATGCACAATCGATCGTTTCATACCAAGCAACCCACTAAATATCACAGGATGAATATGAAACTAGGGTTAATTGTAAGTGAGCATGACTGCTTCGATACTACTACGGCGGGCATCTATTTCTTAAACAAATGTTTTCGTCTTTAGATCTCAACAGTTCTACGATTTAAAACCAACTGAGTTCAAACCTTATCCTTGAATCAATTTTCACTCTACCTCAGAGATGGCCTGCACAATTCCAGCATTAGCTATTAAAACACGTAAAATGTTCATCTCCTTATTGAGCAATTTGAATCACTTAAGATAATTAATTACCAATTACTTGTTTAATTCCTCCAACATAAAGGATAAAAAGGATAAAACTCTCGGCGTTGATCAATCCCTCGGGATGCGCCATGCATTCGACTTCACTAAGCATCGTTGGAGGTGACTGAATACATATCTGGCCTTTACAATGACTCGTGGCGGCCTACCGATGTATCAACCCAATGCTATTATCCTCCCAGACAAGTTTGGCAGCAATCCGTCGACTCCGGATGAAGGGCTTCGTGAGTCTGAGGCGCGGAGATCGATCATATGTGTGTACCAAGGCGACTCCGACCACTGCGCTACACGCGTCGCTTAGTTGTAGGTAAGTGTGAAAAAATATGACCAACAACGTAACCGATAGATCGAGATAGTATAGAGAGCAGCAGGAAACACCAGCAGTGGCAAAATATCTCATACAATAGTGCTAAAGCGATATAACACAGAAACAACATTTGACGTTTCTGGTCACGGATCATGGTCACGCACCATCCTCGGGTATAATGAGAAAAATGCTCTCGGAATTTATAACTGAACCGAATTTCTTCCCAAAGATAAAGCTGGAACTAAGTATTAGAGAATTCCAACACTAATCTGACGAGAGTTACATGTTCTTTTGGGAATTAAATGCCTCAACAAATCAAGAGTTGTAAATAAATCCAGTTAATAGTTTTTAATTCTCTTGATACTTGATACTTGAACGGCCCCTTATCACTAGTTATGCGGGCCCATTACAATCACCGTTTTTCGGAGATTTGCTGTTTAAGCCAATGTGGTTCCCTCTAATCTCGAGGACAGCCTGATCAAAGTCTGCCCAAGGTCATCACAACGACAGGCAGTCGCAGCCCTTGTGGATTAGAGGGAAATTCACCACCATTCGACTTTGATACCAGGACGGTGGTGAATCCTGGTATTGGTTTACTCTTAGCTAGGTTTCCCGATGGAAACAACGGACTCTTTCCCAGCTAGGGAGACCCTGCCGGGGGTCGAATCACTCCACTGTACATCACAACCCGACACCTTGTAACACCTCCCAGCTACGATGAGGCGGTAAACCGTTGGGAGGTGTTAATTCTGTCACAATTCTAAATGTTGAAAAAACCTGGTCACAAACTTTCCTATGAAAATTGAACAAAGAGATTAAAAATGAACCTGTTCTTAAATAAAACCAAGTCCTTAAGGATACTGAAATCAACGAAAACAGAATATGATCGCTGTGGGTAACTCCAATGCAAGTAGTGGAAATGAAAACGGAACATATTCTTGCTTTTTTAGCTGTTTCTGTTCAGGAAGTTCTCAAAGTAACTTTTAGCCTGAAAAACGTTAAATGGCACTAAAACCTAATCATGGAATAGGTAGAAGGAAGGTGCGATGGACGCACCTGGTGAAACTTCCAAGAACTCCTTAAAAGTGGACAGTTAATTAGCCAATCATGATCTTTGTGTTAGACTTTTCAACAGTTACTCCTTTTCGAACTTACTTAATCGCAATAAATAACCACAAAATAACTCAAAAGACCAACTTTCTATAAATCTCAGCATAAGTAACCTAGGTATTTATTTACGTTTTTATGAATTAATTTTGTTGAGCTGATGCGAGCTCGGAACAGTAGTCGTTGTTGTTGTTGTTGTTGGTTGATGGCTGATGTTTCGGCGATTTTGCCTTCCTCAGAGCTGTGATATAACGAGTGGTACTCAATCAAGTCTCGAAGGAAGGCGAAATTTCCGAAACCTCAGCCAACGAGCACCAACGCCAATAACGATGACAACTATACCAACCTTGCACCAGCTCAACAAGATCAATTCATAAGAACATATAAATAAATAAGCACACTTTCATCTGGTGCCCTGCACTCGATATATCAGAGAGTTCCAAAAATGCACTTCATAAAGAACGACTTCCTAAACATTCAGCAGTACACCAAATATCGCAGTAGTAATATTTTTCGGAAGTATTGTATTCGACATAGAACAATGCTTGCAGTTACACTGATATATTTTTGTAATAGGTACATTGGAATAATCTCTCGACCTAGAGCACTCCATACGAATTCTTGGCCACAACTGTTTCTAATTTGAAACGTACTAATACTGATTATCATAAGAAACCAAATGACATACTCGATCATAAATGGCTGGAAGCACCTCCTTCGACCTCGTAAAATAAGGTCGAAGCACAGGGCGTGGGTTGCTGCCAATAGATATTTCATCGATTGCCAGTTCCGGACCTAAACCGAAGCATACAGAAATCAGACTGAAGCGACTGTCTGTCGCTAAGCAAGCAATACAGTACGGAATCTCTTATTTTGGCCAAGCAGTTCATTTAAGAAACCCAAGAATAAAATTAATACAGTGTCACCTGAGTCACTCATGTTCTCCAATTCCTCGAAAAGATCTTGAAGCTCTTTGTCTGTATGCACCATTGCAGCAGAAGCGGATCGAGAAGGGAGACCCTCAAGTATGTTTTCTCGAAGAAGTAGAATAGATCTGGTGTTATCAATCAGACATGATTATTGACAAGTGAATAAGATGGACTACCTATGGAAAAACTATATTAAATCTTAAATGTTAAGCAATAATAGAGGCTGTTATGTAAGTTCTTTTCAATAGTTTTTCTTCGTTTCGCGTGGAAACCTACGAAACAGTTATTTTTGAAACTTCTTAATATTTACAGGATCCTTTCCAACGGTTTATCGCTTCATCGTGGCTGAGAGGTGTTCCTGAGTGTCGGGCTATGATTTGCAGGTGCAGCAGGTCGATTCATCCCTCCCGCAATGTCTCCCAAGCTAAGAAGGAGTCCAAAGTTTTCATAATTATGCCCAGCTAAGAGTAAACCGATACCAGGATCCACCACCGTCCTGGTTTTAAACTACTCGCATGATGGTAAACTTGATCTCGGGACTTCGGGAAACCTCAACGGCTCAATCGGCAAAATTCCTAAAACATTTAAATTGTGCTGGGGCCCGCAACCACCTGTAGAGCAAAAGGAGGTGCCATCCAATTATCGAAGTATCTAGTATTTACAACACAACAGTGGCGAAAAATGATTAAATACAAAAATTGCAACAAGATGATGTGTGACATAAAAACTGACTCATAACAACTCATGCGAGCGTACACAAAAGAAACATATGGCTTACATTGGGTCAAGCCTTATGAAAGAAATTTTTATAGCTCAATACCTCTTCTTCAGGAACTTTGAAC